TTTGAATGGCATATCCCCCAGATTGGGGATCCAACCAAAAAAAAAAAAAAAAAAAAAAATGTACACATAGAAATATATTTGAAATTAAAATAAAAACAAATTTACTATGTACATGATGAAAAAAAAATATTTTGAGTATTAATAAAAAGTTAAAATTCTCTATAAAGAGACACTGTCACTTTGTCCATTCAGTGTAATGTGACAGTGTCTGCATGTAGTCCACCTCCCCCAAGCTGTATACTTAATAGATAACACATCATTGCACAGCTTGCGTGACAGTGTTTGGGCCTAGTGGTTCGCCACTAGTGATTACCCTAGCAAAACTCTATTATACTCTTTATAAATGTCTGGGCAGCAGGCCAAAAACCAAATGCCACCAGTCCTCTGTCAACCAGATAGGCACATTTTTGAAGAAGTTCACTAAAAAAGAACTAAACGTTGTCCATTTACTTCCAGTAGGTGGCTGCTCAGTGACTTGCATCCTCCAGCTTGTTAACTTCAACTAGAGATGTTAGGAAAAATTTAATTTGAACCAATACCTCACAATTTCTTTTGATCAGTCCATTGAGTGAAATATCAAGTCACAGGTTGGCTTGTTCAACTAGTATTAAAAGAGAAAGGTGAACCAACAGATTGTCTTCATGTGCTTTCTCATTCTATTTATCTAGGAACTTCATGCTTTTAAGGGAGAACGGGCTGACGTTAACGTGGAAATGAATGCTGTCCCCGGAGTGGACCTGGCCAAACTTCTCAATGACATGAGAGCTCAGTATGAACAAATTGCAGAACAGAACAGACAGAAGGCTGCAGACTGGTTCAATGAAAAGGTAATCCAATCCACATGAACATCAAGGTGTATGTTACTGCTGTTCAACTCTTTTGGCACAGGGGGCCACTTTTTTGTTCCAGCACATGATTTACTGTATATCTGAAGGCAAATTCTTTGTAGTGGCCATAGCTACGAGTATAGTTCAATAAAAACCTCTTTTCCATATACTTTATAGACATTAAATACTACTTTGACTTATATTGAATATATAATAAACTGGCCCACATTGCCTAGTCAGTTATTAGAAAATATATCAAGGTTGTTATGGTCATGTGGTACAGTTGTGAGTTTCTCTTTCAACCTTGGGCAGTAAAATTACCCTTAGTTTAAGACCAGGTTTATGTTTCATCTCTGAATGTTGGATTGTATGGGGCCTGTCAATACTCATTCCTCTTCCTTTCTATTTACACATTGCAGAGTGCCGAGATCAACCAGGAGATTTCCCACAGCAGTGAAATGGTTGAATGCCACAAGACGCAATTGACAGAGCTGAGACGTACTCTTCAAGAACTGGAAATTGAGCTGCAGGCACAACTTGCTATGGTAACATTTCCTCTTATTTTAATGATTAAATGCCACCCCACGTTTCACATACATGGGGCAGAGATCCTACCTCCTGAGACATGTAGAAGTGCCAAGTGGACTGAAATTCGATGGTGATGTGTCAACCATTGCTTGCTGAAAGTATAGAGATTTTGATCAGATACAAATGTTTAAACATTGTAGATACACTTCAGTTATATATGAAAATGTATTATTAAGACACATAGAGAACACAACATTTATGCATAATATTGCTCTTTGTAAAACCTCTGTTGCTGGCCTCTTTAAACGTCAGATTAGACCTGTAAATGCTGATACATTTGTTCTCAGCACCGGGAGAGTACAGAACTCAACTCCAAGTACAAGTGACAAGCTGCAGCTTCTCTATGGGCGATGGCATATTAGATAGTCTGTAGAAAGTCGCTCGCACTCCAGCGAGGTCGCTTTACAATGTGACATGACTTTAGGCAATGAAGAAGATTAACTAAGAAACTTATTGGAGTGTGAGTGACTTTCTACCGATTGCATTTGATTTGCAGAGGCATCTGCAGTCACTTTGGCACCCACCCGACTTTCAAGGGTTGATTTCCGGTCAGGAGTGTGATGGGGTCGATTATGTATTACATTAGATAGTCTGCCACTGTCGAGAATTTGCCAGCGACAGGATTGCTATACGGGGATAAACAGGCTAGAGGAAAAACAGGCTAGAGAAAAACACACCCCTCATGCCCCTCATTTGCCAGCTGGATGAAAAATATTTTACCCCCACTCTAGCAACTTACATGTTGCAATATTTCCTTAAGCGATGCAAGGGAGTGACTCATGGAAGTAGGCAAGTATTTTCTTTTCCAAAAACAATATCACTAATGTGACATGGTCCTTACACTTTACTCCTGAAACACTAAACCCATTAGATCTAATCCTAAACTAGACTAAACCATAGCATTAATAAACCCATATTCTTCTGCATACTCATCTCATGCTGCATCAAGAGCCTCTGCAATGATAGCATGCTGTTCCAACATCAAAAGCTTGCTCTAAGATCACCTGGACAGACACCTGATTCAGAGGTATAGCAGATTTCCAGCTCCTATGAAAACAGAATTGCATAGTTTTATTTTTAAAACAGAACTTCAGGCAAATATATAAAGAAAACATCAATTAACTCCCATATATTTATTTTAATAGTATATTTAGCTTTTTGCCTGGAGTTCAGCTAGACATGTCTTTGGACTGCCCCATTTGTATTATGCATGCCTTGAGTCAGTAAAAAGTATTTGCATCTATGTTCATTGCTGCAATCTTTGGAAGCACTACATAAGGGGAAGGTTGCACAGAATGATTGAAAAGACTTACCTAGTTTTATTAGGAGACATTGTGAAAACCTTGCTGCATAGGGTTTAAAGAAGAAATTGCAAGAATACAAACATAGATCTTTACCAAAGATCTATTTGTTATTAAAATCCAGCCTTGACATTGTACTATTAAATTTTAAGCGACATGGCAACCTTGGCTCAAGTTTAAGAAAACCCCAACTTATGTGCAGATTGTATATTGATACCCTCTCAACAGTTTGAATAAGACAACTATCCGAGATAGAATTACAACAGTAACGTGATACCGGCTAGTATTTCCTATGTCTAACGAACCCGCACCTATATGGAAGGTACTATTGACTTTATTGATATTGGGTCTGTAGCTTTGGTAAGCGCTCTCCTACCTCCGATACCTCTCCCAGTATGGTGCCCCCCGTATTCCCCCCCTCTCCCTTCCTCCTCCATTCCTCCCTCCCATCCAATTTTCTGGAATGTTTTCTATGTTTCACTGTTTTTGTGTATGAAAAGAAACACATTTAATAAAAAAATTTAATGATAAAAAAAATCCAGCCTTGACCACAGTATGATCCCCACCTGATGATCGCCAACCTCTAATGCGTTTCCTAGACTCTATGACTAAGCCTGAAGGTGTTAGAGGTAGTAGATCATCAGGCAGGGATCATACTATGCTGATGGCTAGATTTTAACACTAAATACCTCTTTGCTGAAGAACGGTGGTGTGCAGCTATTTGTGAGTGTGAACGGTTCCCAGCTAACACCTGCAACAATCCAAAGCAGTGGAGCTTGAATCTGGATGTAGCGGTGAAAGTTTCTTCTTCCCCAGAAATTACAAGACTCCAATTATGGAAAACCTAAAGGGTTTTGTGACGTTAACCCAATTGGCTTTAGTATGATAGCGAATGATTTTCCTGGTAGCTTGAAATAACAACTTAAAAAATTTTTTTCTTAAAGAAAAAGTCTCTAGAGTGCTCACTGGCAGAGACAGAGCGCTGCTATAGCACACAGCTGGCGCAGTTACAGGTGGTCGTAGGAAATGTGGAAGAACAGCTCAGCCAGATCCGCAATGATCTGGAACGTCAGAACGCAGAGTACAAACTTCTACTGGACATCAAGACCCGCCTGGAAAAGGAGATTGAGACATACCGCAGACTTCTTGATGGAGAGCCGTAAGTCTGGTCATTTATTTGATCTACATATTTACTTTGATGTTAAAAATTGTACTGAACTGTATAACACTTCATTATGTTTTGCAGATGGCATTGCAAAGAAGTACACATTCCTGTGAAAGGTATACTTTTTAAAATCTTTGGTGACACACAGTAGACATGGGAATCTAGATGCCTTCTAGCCACAATAATGGCAACTCGAAATGTGTTGGGACTTCAATACCATGTAGGACAGTTGACTGATCCAAAGCTTAATCTCACCAGGAATTTTAACTGTTCAGATATTTTCAATCTGTTAAAAAGCAGGTTAATTATCCAAAAGTAATGTTTAGTCATAGATGGACCCTGGTGGATTGAAAAAACCTCTGGATTGTTATATTTTATGGAAACTTCAACAATTAGATCTCCCTGCTTTAGTTCCCAACTCTGTTCCTTTCCACCTTGGAGTTTGAGTGTTTCTGCCCAACTTTGCATTTTTCAGCTCCTTTGACATTCCCCATATGAATTAAAAAATTAATAGGGAGAGTGGGACCCCCTCATAATGACCACAGCAGGTATGCAGACCCAGGCTAAGTGCAGAGATCTGAACAACATAGTCCTTGAGAGATGTAAGAACCCGTCTGTTGCTTTAACTCTCCATGTACTAAAAATTTAAACATCAGTCTTGGGTAGACCAAGATTATAAGGCAAGCTTTAGTGTAATGAAAAAAACAAGATATTGTTTTAAAGGAAACTTGTATAGAGAAAGATAGAAAAACTGCCATTGCTGACCTCCTTTTGAAAATACTTTTTTTCGGAATTCATAACCTGCACCCACTCAATAACCCATCATATTTTAGCTCTTTAAGATTGAATTCCACATTCTATGGCACTGATGTACTTTATAACCTAATTTTCCATTTCTAGAGGCCAGCAAAACCAGGAAAGTCACAACCATCGTAGAGGAAGTGGTGAACGGTCGCATTGTTTCACAGAAAGTGAATGCCACTGAAGAGAAGCTGAAGAACTAACTCTCTTTCTTTGGAGCACATGTAAAAGTTTCATGATGACTTAAATGTGCCAGGCAACACTTAGGCTTCATTTAAGACAGTGTCCAGAATAAGAATGGTCTCAAGTCCATCTTACTCACAGAAACAAATTAGATGGAGAATGAACAATCTAAATTGGATGCTCTGGTCAATGTGTTCAGCATAACTCAATAATTAGTGCTCTTTGTATACGTGAAAACGTGTGGTACTCTTTGTGATGATTATTCTCTCAGATGCTTTCATAAATGAGGCCTAGTGGTGGCAAATTGGGAACCTGGTGTGAAGTATCTATTTTCCTTACCTATCCAATAAACCTTTATTATGCAAATTATTTCTGCTTTTGTGTTCTGATTACTACAAATGAAAGGAAATTCCAGACAAACAATGAAATATACAGGTGAAGACTAAGTGGCTGCTTTATCTGACAGATGCCCAGCAATGTATTGCACATACACTATATTGCCAAAAGTATTGGGATATCCCTCCAAATCATTAGATTCAGGTGTTACAATCACCTCCATGGCCACAGGTGTGTAAAATCAAGCACCTAGGCATGTAGACTTCTTCTACATACAAATGTAAAAGAATGAGTCGCTCTCATAAGCTCAGTGAATTCAAGCGTGGTACCGTGATAGGTTGCCCCCTGTGCAATAAGTCCATCCGTGAAATTTCCTCGCTTCTAAATATTCCACGGTCAACTGTTACTGGTATTATAACAAAGCGGAAGCAACTGGGAACAACAGCAACTCAGCCACAAAGAAAAATGACAGAGCGGGGTCAGCACATGCTGAAGCGCACAGTGCGCAGATGTCGCCAACTGTCTGCAGGGTCAATAGCTACAGACCTTCAAACTTCGTGTGGCCTTCAGATTGGCACAACAACAGTCCGTAGAGAGCTTCATGGAATGGGTTTCCATGGCCGAGCAGCTGCATCCAAGCCTAACATCACCAAGTCCAATGCTGGCCAACTAAGATGTTGAGGAGCCGGAGAGAGAGGGAAGCTTTACCACTATTAAGAAAAGTGCAAGCTTTCATCAGTAAGGCCTGGTATCTGAGCACAGTACAGATGGAAATAAAAGAGTATTTTGGTATTCGTTGCTCCTCCAGAAAAAATGTTCAGAGAAATTATACCAGTAACTCACTCCAATTAGCCCTTTAGCTCTTATATTTTAATAAGCTAAGACATAAGGCATACAGAGGATAACATTAAAAGTCTTAAATTGTATATACACTTGTTACTTGGGCATATTAGGTGGTAGTTCTGACCTGGAACAATTTAGAGGTTGAAAAATTAAAAACTGTGAGCCAGCAAACTTGTGTTAACACCAAGCGGACAATACATTTTCTTCTCCTAAATTCCTGACTAGGTGTTTCATGGATTTGCTGAACTGTTGAGTCTACACTAAAGCTGGCCATAAATCGTCCGGCATCCCTCAATCAGCTGATCAAAGGAGCTGGTCGGATAATCTTCATACAGAGTTGGCAGCCAACGAGCTGCTTGCTCTGTTCCAGTATTCTGACAGTAGCTGGCAGCCATTGTCAGGATCAGTGGCGTCACAAGAGGGGTGCGGACCGCACCAGGTTGATACCATTGGAGGGGTGACACCAAAATGACTATCAATTTGGTGTCACCCCCTCTTATGCCGCCGGGTGACTGTCCCCTCCTCTCCCTGCCGGCGTCCATCACCAAGATGGCCGCCGGCAGGTATCAATAAGATCGCGCACACGTGTGGTGATGTCACACGCATGCGCGATGAGGTCACAACCGGGTGTTACCCGGTAACCGCTCCTGGTGACACCCAGCCTCAGGACGCCCCTGGTCAGGATACAAAAAGAAACAACAGGGATTCCTCGAACAACAACATCAGTCCACTCTATTTTTTTTTTCGTTCAGCCTGCAGGTTGAATGAAAAAAAATAGGAGCAGTGTATGGCCAGCTAAAGTGGATCTCTTGGGGTGTTAATTCAAACCATACAAGGGCCTGTTATGATAGCTTCAGTTCATATTAAGGATTACTATTTTTTTCTTAAAATTGTACATTTGGTATGTTTTCTATTTTCTATTACGAATAAAATACGGGTTTATAAGATTTGCAAATCATTGCATTCTGTTTTATGTCGATTTTACACCGCGTCCCAACTTTTTGGGAATTGGGGTTTTATGACCCTCCTTTGCAGACAATCAGCGTGAAATAAATCTTTATTGGTCATCAACCAACCTTTGCATGGTGTCACAAAATAAAACTTAAGAAGTCATTGTTAAACATTTATTGCTTGTATGCATTCCTGCTACAGAGTAAAGGTAATACCTTGTAACAGCTGGAAATTGGCAATGTTTGATAAGTCCAGACATGTCATAAAATATAGACCCCAAAAGCAAATACCAAAGTGACATCTAAATGCATCCAAAATACCTTGTAAGACAAGGCTCAGCGTCAAGTCAAAAAAACATATCAATAGCGGTAAGGACTGCTGAGAATCATAGTTAAACACTTATTATATGGTGCAAATACCCTTTCCCTCCTACCGCCAATGAATACTAAACAAAATAACATTGTTGGAAGGGCAAGGCCACAGCTTTATTGAAGTATTGTCATCATATAAAACATAACTCTCTTTTCTGTTTACAGTAAATCGTGCCAGTCACGGATACACCGTGAGCACCCAAACATCATGACTTTATAACCCAATGCAGAAAATCTGTCTTTACCATCAGTTCTAGATAGATATCCAACCATCAAAGAGTTTTGGCAAAGTTAACATGGTAACCGATTAGGCTCGCAAGGTCAAAAACATGCTAACAAAGCTGTGACAAGTTAGAAAAGAAAAAGTTAGAAAAGAAAATTAGAGGCCAGCAAGCCCACTTCCTCCCACTTATAACACTTTCCTTGTCTCCGCCTTTGTAAGCTATCCCCCAATTAATAATTGATTACGCCCCCTTATACAGGAGGGTTCCATTTTACTGACCACATCCTTACTGCATGATTCCAACAGTCAAAGCTCCCTCTCCTGAAAGGGCCAATTTATTTTAGCTGGTCATTATAGAGGTACTTCTGTATCAATGCATATGGCATGCTACTGGGAATTGTTTTTTATACTTCCCAACTCAAACCCAGAGTTGTTTTCCTCACCATCGCTTTTCCTCTTTACTGGCTTTTTAAAATAGCAAACATGGTAATTAAGAGAGATGATGAAGGTTTTAGTGCAGAATAACACTTCTGGTAGTTAAATAGTACATTTAAATTGATATCTGTAAATCAGACCAAGAGGAGGGACAACTGAGGAAAGAGTAACAAAGGGATTTGATTGCAAATGAGGTACAATCCCTCCAAATGAGGAAAAGTTGAGAGTTATAGGTTCTCCCATCTTTATTGCGTCAACACATCAGGGATGCACCAATACCATTTTTTCCAGACCGAGTATAATTACTTGTACTTTTCCTCAAGTATTCGCCGATAACAAATACCGATACTTTTTTTTAGTGTCATGTGACAGTTTTTCTAAAACCAGACTAATGATTTTAGGACAGCACCAGAGCCCTGCCGCAGATGTGACCCTGGTAGTTCTGCCACTAACTCCAAGCTGTAGAGGGACTACAGATCTAAGCATGCAGTATTATACAGAAATGCTGATTACCACCAGATAGAGAGCACTACAAATCTCAATACATTATACAGCAATGCAGAATAATATGAAACTAGATATGCTGAGTTGCGCACTGAGGCTGTGCAGGGTCTGACAAGGTCTGTGCAGTCTCACCAGGGCTGTGTCCGGCATCTCAGAAGACTGTGCGGGGTCTCATGGGGAGGAGATGTGCAGCTGGCTCTGTAAACAGCCCCTGCAAGGTCCCCAGCAAGCATGGGACCTTAGAGCAGCCAATTGTACTTGAACATTTCAATCGCCGGTATCAGGGCATTTTTATGAGTACCTGTAAAAAATGCCCAGTATCGGCACTGATACCGGTATCAGTATTGGTGCATACCTACAACACATGTTCCAATCCAATCATTTTATACCAGCCATGACAATATTTTGCTTCTATCATTTTCTTTTTTTTTCAAATTCTTTATTGGCTGAAGAAAACAGCAGATATAACAATACAATGTGGTTGAAGGTAAAATCAGTTCTATATAATCTTTAAGGCACGTTGAGAAACGGTCTATATCTTGTCAACGCAAGCATATCCTGTCTAAAAAATCGCATCGGGAATACGTGAAAACAGCTCAGTACAGTAGTTGATTCAACAATACTTTAGACTCAATGATGACATTCTGCACGTTGAAGCTCTGTGACTAAGTACTATATCCAACATCGGATAGTGTCTCAGGGTCGAGGTGAAAGTGAAAAAGGAAAGAAAGTGGAAAAGGTAGAAAGGAGTCAAGGTCCCGGCCGGTCTATCTTTTTCTTATAATTTTTTTCAGTCTTCCGCAGAATCAAATTGATCGAATAAATATTTTTTTGGCAAATGATGGCTATGTCTCAATTGTAGTTTTGATCATATTTAAATTATTTAGCAAACATGTTCAGCCTGTTAAAAAAAACTGCCAATGATAGCAAAATTCTGATAAAAATAAGAAAAAACGATATTTGTGTAACCAGCAAAAAACACAGATTCATGTTGAGTCCGTCTTATCTAAAAAATAAAGGCACAGATATGAACAAAAGCAGGATGTAGGATTTGGGCGTCACTGTCCAGTCATATTGGCATTTCTGCAATGATCTAGTAATAAGTTCAGACACATGAAAGGGGATTTATAACTGGTTGGAAACCTGACGAGCAGCATTCTTAGCACATAAAAAAAAAACATTTCTGTCAGACTGCTTTCTCCGGAAACGTAAACTTTCCATATTGTCCAGCGTGGCAGATGTCTGAAAGAACATGCAGTTGTGGAAATCTGAAGGACAAGATCTTATCTCAAGGAATTAGAGGCTATAACGGGCAATAGAACGACTCAGGGCTGTTGACATTGACCTGTGCAGACAA